AATTTGGAATGGGCTTCCAAGGGAGATGGTGCTCTCCCCTACCTTGGGGGTCTTTATGAGAAGGCTGGATAGGCATCTGGCTAGGGTCATCTGACCCCAGCACTCTTTCCAGCCTAGGCAGGGGGTTGGACTTGATGATCTGTTGAGGTCCCTTCTGACCCTAGCATCTATGAATCTATGAAATTCTACATAAGAAGTGGAGTGGTCTTATTTCCTGTGCCAAGCATATAGTACTTCTGCTTGTGCAGCCTCAAACTATGTTTGCTTCCCTTGCGACAGCATCATAATGCTGACTCATTGAATTTGTGATCCACCAGAACCTGCCAGACCTTACCGTGGCCTCAGAAGTTACCTTGTTCTGGTCTGCACAGCTGGGTCCGAGCGGGCAAGGGAACAGTGTCGCTTGGACTTGGCTCTCCTCCCCACTGGGAGCAGGCCAACTGGGTCCCAGCAGGGAGGGAACCATGTTGCTTGGGCCCAACTGCACTCCCTGACAGGACCAGAGCTAGCTAGGTGCGAGTGGAGGAGGGAACTGTGTTGTTCAGACCTGGCTGGCTGAGCAGAGCTGAGTCTGAGTGACATGCTTCCCTTCCCCATTCAGACCCGGCTGGCTCTGCTCATGGAGAGGACAGAGCTGGGAGCTGAGCCAGAGAGAGTGGTGGTATGAGGTACCATGGCTTCCAGGATCTGGTGTCTGCAGCACTCACTCTGCCCTGAGGGAGCAGGGAGCCTGTCCTTTCCCTAGCTTCTTCCCTAGCACTAGAGGCCCCTGCTCATCAAGCTGCTAGTGGGAAGTCACAACTGTGCAGGCAAGAGGCAATCACAGCAGTTTTTTTGCCTTAATGTGTAACTGCTTGCTGGTCCCAGGGGTGGCCACAACAACCCCTGCTGGCCGCTCAGCCCCTGTGCTGCCCTCTCTTTCCAGGCTTGCTCTCCTTCATCTCCCCCCCACATACCCTGTTGTTATTAGATCCTTGGAAAGGGAAGCTGCCCCAAGGATCTCATGCTGCTGTTCAGGTGTCACTGTTGTGCCTTAAGAGCTTATTTTGTGGCTCCAACTACTCCTTACACTGCACCCATACCTCACAGATGTTACTCTATGTCCCATGTAATAAGGGGCATCCCAGTGCCCCAGGTCCTCATGTCACATCTGTTAAACCTCTCATCTGGACACCCTGTCCCTCAGGCCTCTGTTTCATTTACCATCCTTTGCTCACCTGTGCACCACAGTTTCTCAGGCCTGCTTCGAACTGTCTGGCCCTACTCCTCAGCCCTTGGTCCCAACCCCTAGGACTCCAGCCTCTAGGCCTGCTTCCAGGCCTCTGGTCCCATTCCTGGGCTCTAGCTCTACTCCCAAGCCTCTGGACCTGGCCCTAGGCTGGCTGAGACCACCACCACCCCTTGTTTCAATCCCTAAACCACTGGACCCTACCTCAGCTCTAAGACTACCATCTCTTATCCCCTGAGAGCGCAGCAGCTCCCCGCCCGCTGCTTGCTCAGGAGCATCTTCTATATCAGCAGCCAGGGCAAGACTGACTGGCCCAGGGCTCATCTCCTGGTTAAATCTCAGCCCTTTCTGTCAGGTGCTCCCCTGGCTGCTGACTCAACTCCAGGGGCCTTCTCCCTTCCTAAAGTAACAGGCACCCTCAGTGTCTGTTATACTGCTCTACTAAGACAAACAGCACTAAGTTGATAAACATTTGTTCAGCTTACAGCTTAAAGTCTGACAAGCAGTGTTCCCTCTAAACTGTGTGGTGTGCGCAGCCACACAGGTGTGCTCATGTACTTGCACTGCCAGGTGCACCTGCGCTGCTGTGCAAGCCATATAACTTAGAGGGAACACTGCTGACAAGGCCCTAATGTGGCTCTTGCTTGCCCTGAACAGTTCCTCATAAACTTGCTTCAGGTTTGTAAAGGAATGTGCAGCCGAATGAAGATTGGCACTGATTTAATTGAGCTTTTTTCTGCTCTAATGGAGGAAAACAAGATATTCTTGGGTTGATTCTGTTTCCTCTATTTCAAGTTTGTGGAAAAAGCACCTGGCAGCATTCTAGCTGGTATCATATTAAAAAGTCTGCACTTGTGGAACACTTCAGTTGTGCAAGGTTGTGAACAATATCGAAAGTCGCCCTTCCTCTGGTCTAGGCAGATAACTGTTTACTAGTTGTGCATGCTAAACAGGTCTTGGCTACTTTGCAGTGGCTGTATATGACTGTTAAATTAACTGAGCACAAAGACCAAAGTTATATTACAACTAGCCCCTTGCAAGAGTTATGTGCTATCTGCACTGTACTTTGGTGTAAAATAACTCTGTGTGACTCATGAGTTGTGCTACCAGGGCAAGTGGCTCACAGGCTAAGGGATGAGAAAATAGTTTCCTACATCCTAAATGCAAAGCAGCCTTTGCCAGATTGCATAAGTGGGTCTGCAGGGAACAAGGCATCAAAGTCTCTATTAAGGCAAAGGTTCATAAGACTGTGGTTCTTAATATTTTGTTTTATGGATTTAAAATCTAGACATTCTATGATGGTTTGCCCAACTAACCAATGCTGAAATGCTGCAACCAATTGACTTACAGACCTGAAGCATTGCTGATGAGGGTGCAACTCTGTTGGGGTGGTCAGGTTGCATGCATGGGTAACTAATACATGCGTAACCAGCCTTTATGTATGTTGCATATCAGCAAAACCCAGTTGAAAAAAACACTTTGTGGACCTACTTGATATACAATAGATAAAGTTAGAAGTCCAATTCTTAAGAGATGAGAAAGCCTTATCTTTTAATTGGAGGGCATCTGAGCAATATTCAGGACAGCCACAATATGTTAAGAGGCATGAAGTGGCTGTTTATACATAAAGGAGGGTTACTGGTGTTATGAGCTCTGCCTCTGCAGAAAATTGAAAGCTGTATAACCAAAAAGCAGCTCAGCAAACAATGCTCAGTCTACAGAACCATAGAATCACAGAAGAATTAGGGTTCGAAGGGGCCTCAGGAGGTCATCTAGTCCAATCCCCTGCTCAAAGCAGGACCAGCACCAACTAGATCATCCCAGCCATCTCATCCTATACAGGATGAGGAAGAAGGGGACCCCAGGATTCTATTACTGCTGCATGGCACAGGACCTTATTTAACAGGGCAATGTTTTTATACAGAGTTGTAATAGGGAGCTGAGTGGCTGGGGTAGCAGTGACACGAGAGCAGCGACTTTGGCTGCTGGTGCAATTAGTGTGATCGCATGGCTGTGGTGACAGCTTTTGTTTCCATCGCTGAACTGGTGCCAAAGCTGTCCTGCCTTAGTTACACTATTGTAAACTTAACCATCTTAGCAATAGCAAAAGTGTACAGTACTATCACTTAAAAAAATCCAACAGGCCTGTGATTCTGTCATGTGATTCTGTTAAACGTTTCCCAGAGGACAAAATCTTGCCAGTTGAAAGTAGCTAGCTTTATCTTTAGCTTACCATTCAAAATTTGGTCATTTTACTATTAACTTGTCCTCTGTGTCCCTTCTTCTCCCACAATGGCTTGCTTAGTCCACCTGTCATGTCTGGTCATTAGTCAAGAACATAAATATTTTGGGAAAGGGGATTTTCTTTTGCTTAATGGTTGGAGAGTACATGGAACAGTGGCCTCTGATTAAGACCTTTAGATGTTCTTATAATACAAATAATAATAAGACAAGTAGAAACTCTGGCTGTTTGTCTGAACGGTTAATTATTTCATGTTTTAATTTTAAAAAATGCTCACTATAACAACCCCACTATAATTTTCCAGACTTTCTGCACTGGAAAATACCAAGAATGATTCTTACCAGCAGCAAATTGTTTTTGAGCTAGGGCACTACGCACTCCTTCATACAGAAGATTTATTTCTTCGTCAGTTGGTGTACGATCCAGGCGTGGTCCATTTCCATAAACAGTTTTTCCCAAAGGTTCGTATGTAGATACACTGGTGGAAGGTGTGGATATTGCCATATGACCACACGCAGTGCTCTTATTATTTTCTGTGATACTTTTATTGCAATGCTGATCTGCTGGCAAAAAACGTTTTGCATTTAAATCATTATTTTTACTGATGGTTTGAGGTTTAGAAGAATTTACTAGTTGATACCCACTCCTAGTCTCTGCTACATTTTGTCCAGTTGTGCAGTCTAGTAAAAGTTTAGGTGGTGGATGAGGTATCATGATTTTACCCTGAGCTCTTATAACTTTGTTAGCTTCACTAGCAGACTGTGCTCGGATTATAGTGCCCTTCCTATTTTTGGGTATAAAACTTGTTTGGGTTCTGGCAGATATTGGTCTTCTGATTATTTTTGTCTTGCCTTTACGCAGGTTATCCTTCTGGATTTTAGAGTCATTACTATATAGAAAAGGGTTACTTTTTTCACCTTGCGATGCCATCCATGCCTGTTTAGCAAAATGGCACCTTGTATATCCTAAAGAATTCAGAAGTGTACAGTCTCTCTCTGAGCCTCCAGCAGTAGCAGATTTTGTGTATATCAGAGTAGAATCCTGGTGATTTTCTAAGCAAACAGGATTTGCAGTGCAAGAAACAATACTTAAATTAGTGTTAGGAGCATTGATTTTAGTTTGAACATGAGATGGTTGCAGATGAGCCTGAGATACTTCACTAGGATTCCTTTCAGAACATTTTTCGTCACCTTCTACTACTGTTTTGTCATTTTCATCAAACCATCGCAGTTTCTTATTGGTCTTTTGATCCTCTGCATTTTTCTCTTTTATTTTTACTAATTCCAAACTGTCTCTGATACAAGATATGGTTTGATTCCCAAAGCTGAACTTTGGTTTCATAACTACCGATTTAAAAAAATTATTTTCATATTTAGATTCCTTTTTTAAAATACTTTTGAGCAGCTTTACCCCATATCCCTCCCGAACATTCTCTCTCAGGTTTTTATGTTGATTAGGCAAGTCAGAATTAAACCCTGTATCAGACAAATGTGGCATGGCTTTGGCTGTATTTCCATTTTCTTCTTTGTCCTCTTCTTGATCAATGTTGCATAAAATTGATGTATTAAATGCATCTTGAAATAAAGATGACCCTTGATTATTATCATTAAAATATTTAGTAGTTTCTTCTTTCTTTTCTATCAAGTTGTCCGGATTATCAGTACATGGACATGTGTTTGTATTTTTTTCCTTTTGTATGATATCAGCTGAGAAACTACTGTTGTGACTACCAATGGAGTTCCATTGTTTTGGAGGTAAAATTACAGGTGTTGCCATAGGATGACTGGAAGTTTGTACTAGTGTAGTTGTTTTAGGTTGCATTATTTCAGAAGTCTGCCCTTGTTCTGAATCCTGAATTCTTTCTTTTTGAGAAGGATCAGAGGTAGTCCACGCTTTGCTTGGTTTGAATACATGGTTGTCAGTGGTCACCAAGCTCTCTTTGCTGACTATTCCAAAAGATGACCTGTTTTTTTCTCTTTCTTTATTTTGCCTAAAAGTACACAGATTTTTTACAGAGGTTACTTGCTTATCAGAAGCATATATTTCTGTCATTCTTTGTTCAAATTTGATAGGAACAGATGATTCCTGCTTTGGATTATTTTCATGTCCAGTGGGAATCAGGACATTATGTTTAGGTAAATCATCATGAAAAGATGTGTGTATGTGGCCATTCTGCATATCTAAATTTCTGAGCCAATTATTTACATGTTGGTTTTTAGAAAGAGTCAGTTCAGCTGCCTCAGGAAAAGATTTATTTGTAGGTTCTGATTTCTGGGAATTGTAGGGTATAGAGTCATACTGTTTAGTCAAAGAAGACAATTCACTTGGTGTCATATTACTTTCATTTTGTTCTCCAGCCTCAAGACTGTCCAGGCTTGATAAGCTTTCAGAATTGGTTATTTGGTTGACTTCTTGATGAAAATTCTGAAACAAATAAGAAAAATTAGACCAGTTACATTCGTAATACACATTTTTCATTATTTAGTACAGCTTTGTTCTTTTCAATTTGTTAGATCACAGAGTAAAAATCTGATAGAGTAAACCACATGCTGAAGAGTCCTGAAGAAAGATATTTTCTGTCTTGTGGTTAAAATAACCTTACACAATACATCTAAAATTTTCTTAGTCAACTGATACTTACTTAAAAGCAATATCACTTCTAATCCTCTCTGGTTTTAAAAAATCTGCTGACTCAGCTAACAGAAGTATAAACAAAGTATAACAGTAAAACACAGCTAGCAACTTTTATTTTACCGTCCAATTTTTGTAAGATACCTTTGTACTAGGGGTGTGCAAAATGGGCCATATTCAATTTGGATTCAGTCCAAATCGGGGACAGTGATTCAGTTCATTGATTTGGATCACTGTCCTGATTTGATTCGGCCAAATCTGAACCTGAAGATTCAATGCCGATTCAGAGAATCACCAATTCTGCCATAAACACAGCTGTAAATGTTTTTTCTACATACTTCAAGGTACCACGTGTGGCTTGTGAACACTGCGATGATGGGGCAGATGGAGCATCCCACAGGACTGCGTGAGACCCTCCCCACTCTCTCCCAGCTCAGTGATTGGCCATGGGGGGACCCCGGGTGCTCCACCACATCCAGGAGGCACCAGTTGCCCACATAATTCTCAGCAGACCTGGAAGTGGACTGGAAGTGCTTCTGGTCCACTTATAGGTCCTCTGCTGAGCATGCTGGGGACCCCTCCGCGCTCTCATGGCATGCTCCATCTGCCCCAGTATCTCAGCATTCATGAACCACTTGGTGCCTTGAGCTATGTAGAAAAAACATTTAAAGCTGTGTCTATCTGAATCATCGAATCTCTCTGAATCGATTTGGAGGGTTCCGATTCTATTTGGAGAGATTAAAGGGTCTCCTCATTCAATTCGGATCCAGAGATTTGGCCACCGAATCAGGCTGAGTCTCCACCAGACTGAATCAGCGACCAAAGCTTTGCACAGCCTTACTTTGTAGCCCTGCTGCACTATGAGAATAGCCTAAAAGATGATAGAGTGAGGCAATGAATCTGCTCAAATTGGTATATATTCACAATAGTGGATTGAGCATCCTTATTCTTAAGCCAGGGCTATAAGTGGTTAGGAATCATCCATCTCTATAGGTTTTTATATGATATTCCGCAAGACACTATCCAGACAGCAACATATTTAGTCCTTCAATACCAAGGTACTCCATGTATATCTTCCACACCAGTATTGTCTCAGCCTGAACATATATAATCTGTGGTATTTCCTGCAGTTATCACAGAAAGTGAAATATCTACAAGCACAAAATAGTAGAGCAAAAAAACATATACATTCTTTCCACACCCCACCTCTTCCACTTTCTCTTTCTGGATTATAATAAGCCCCCCTCTCCACACTGAAGAATGATTTTAGAATCTAAGTTCAAGTAAATCATAATGAAAAACTAACAGAGGTTAATGAAAGAGGACGAATGCCAGCATCATCATCTTCTTTGGCTTATTACTTTAACAGAAATATTTGCAAATTGCAAAAAGAGCTAAGTGAGGAAAAAGTATTGCTCTTTTGGCAACTATATTGAGAGCTGAATTTATAAAGGCTTCTTCATAAATAAACATATCTTTTTACACCAGAATGCTATTTATTTTAAGATTATATAGTAATGTGATTGTTAAACCATAAAATTACAGATTTTAACGCTATTCAAAGAGTTTTAATTATAAAATAAAGAACATAGTGAATCCTTGGTGGATATTTATAAAATAATCTTGAAAGATTTCTTGTGGATGAATTAAATCGTATCTTGCACTGAATGTATGTTGATATAGATTTTATTATAGTTATGATCAGAGATAAAGAAACAAAATACAAGAACAAAGAACCAAGTGTAGGTAAGATCCCTTTAGGGAACATTCTAAAACTAAGGCAATGAAAGCTGGTGTCTTTCTAGTAAAGCAAAATATATAGAACTTTGTTAGTTACTTATTAAATGTTTACCTTTAGCCAGATTATATTTTAACCTCTGTTTGAACTCTGCAGCTAAAGAAAGAAGAAGAAGTATTGCTCTCTAGAAATCTCTGCCTCAGACCAAAACTTGAAACTATCTCTGGTGCTTTCAGGTAGAACACATGGAACACAAAAACAAGAAAGGTATGTTTCTAAAATGATCAAGTTACAGTGAAACCTTTTGTGGAGAGGGTTTAAGCTTGGTTTATTGTCTTCTAGCTTACATAGGTATAACTACTTTTAGTAATAAGGTGTTTTCCCACAAGTCTACTGAAAAACTAAAAATAACATTTGCTTTATTCTTGATTAATGAATACTTTTCTCCTGCCTTGTGGAATAATCCTTCGCAGAAATTCTCAATGGAATAGATAATTGAGCTAAAAGAAACTGTCTTGACTTGCACGCATTTTACAAATGTACTTGTTTCAGTCTTAAAAAAGCATTATGAAAATTTACCATCCCAAGCACAACTTTTATTTGTCCATCATACCTATCAAATATTATTCAGTGAAGAAAAAAATACATCTGCAGATATGATACATATTATAATTTTGCTTTTCCAAATTTCTCTTATAATCAAAGGAATTCTTACTTTTCTTTTCAAAAGAGGAAAAGATACTATTTACATAGCACCAAAGATGCATTTAACAATAATTGTCCCTCTCTGATTGTTCCTGTTCAGTCATGTCTCATTACCTGACACAATGCACATTAAATAGAGATTAAAAAGGAAAGATTGGTACCTCTAACAAAGCTAGTGGAAGAACTGTAATGCTATCCAGTACATCCACAGATAGAGGAATGACCATCTGGGAAGGTCAGCTGCAAAATAAGCAGGGGTAACTGATGAACAGGGATCTGGGTTTTCTGTTTCCTATGGAAAAACAGAGAAAACCATGGATTTCCTGTTTTTATCAGAGAAAACGCAGATTTTCTCTTTCAGCAGAGAAACCTGCAGATTTCCCCTTTTTGCAAAGAGCTCTGCAGGCTGGCAGAGTTAAAGCCTGCAAGAGCTGTTTGCAAAAAGGGCGGAAAAGCCCCAACCCTGCCCGGAGGGGCAGGGGGAGGGGGAGGGGGAGTGGGGAAGGGCAGAGCCTGCAGCTTTTAGGTCAGGCTTACTTTCCTCCTGGAGCCTGTGAAGTGGTATGTGGGGCTTGCAGGGGGCTGGGGGGTTGAGGGGCAGGGCTGGGATGGAAGCTGGCTGGGGGCTAGGGAGTGGGGAGGTGTTGGGGAAATACATGGAGTGCCCAGCTGGCTCCACATCTCCCCACTCCT